AGCCTTATGATACTTCTTAACCCAGCAGCAGCAGTGCTTGGACAGACATCATTTCTGTTGTGCTTGTTGGCAGACAAGATTTCAGACAGACTCTGGTTATGATTTAGTTTTGGTCTACATGTTCAGTACTCAGTCAAAATTCTTGTGCAGCCAACACAGAGACTGCCTTCAATAGGAAAGAGAGTAAACGCAGTGTTTTCAATTTGAGCAATATTTTAGTTGTTGTTTTGTCAGTGGACCACAGGCACTCATGAACTGCTCCAATTTGGCCCCAGACTGCAGAAAGCTCTGGTTTGTCCACATAAAGTGTATTTAATGGACTAGTACTGCAAGTTGGCAGAAGGGACTTAACCTCCAATTCCTGTGTGTCATTGTTGCTGCTGATGCCACTTGGGACTGCCAAACCCACCAGTGTTCCTGCTCTCTGACAGGCAAGCCCTGCACCTGCAGCAGGAAAAAAATGTTCAACACCAGGGTTTTTCCAGCCCTGATGACAAAGCTGGAACTCAAAAAACACAACAGTGCATATAGTGTATCACCTGGTATTGATCTCACTTCCTTCTCATTCTTAGCTTTCTGTATCTTCTTTTTTACAAGCCTCTCCTCCATGGCACCCAGGTGCCAGCTGCAGTTCCCAAAGCCTGGGAAGAGACTATTGATAATGTAGGAAGACTGTGGTATCTTGTAAGGGGAATTGACAGGTTTTGAGCTTAAAGAGGTTACAAGTAAGTGTGTAAGTAAGACTCTGGAAAACATTTGAAAATTAAGACAATGTAATGGGCTTTCATGCAGTTTCTTAGACTTCCAAATGTACCTGCAACAAATATTGAATTATCACTATAAGGATTATACATTGTAAAGACACTAGATTACAATTTCTAATGTAAGAGGGGAAAAAAGCATGGGTTTCTTTTTTCTTCTGGGGGGAAAGTGTGTGTCATTTTGCAGTTTAAAGGTTTAACTAGACTATTCCTATGAATATCTTGAAATTCAGCCGAAGACATTCTGGTATTACACACTTTCCTCCTGAATCTCTCCATGTTCTATGGCAAATGTAGCATTTTGCTTCTGGAGCAGTTAACAAAAAAGGTCTTAGTTAAGAGAAGCTTTCCTCTTGGAAAAGATAATCTGCCTTCAAAGTTATAAATTAAACAACTGAGTGGTCTAATTGATTGAACATTTACAAATTATAATTGAATTTGTGCCAAACTATGTGAAAAAGATTTATGTTCCGCTTCCCATACTGTTTATCCCTCATTTTTTTTGTGTGTGTGTGCATGTGTGAACTGAATCTTTGGGAACTCCTTTCACTTGATGCATCATTGAGGTGGTTAAACACATTGCATTATGGCAGTCTGTCACATCAGTGTTTCAAACTGAAATACTGGACTTGACACATCCCTGGAAAAGGAAGTCAGAGCATCCAAAATCCAGAGTTATGTTTCTTTTGAAACTTGAGATTCTAAAGACAGAATTTTCTCTTAACTCCAACTGCAGTGGAAAAAAAAAAAAAAGGAAGGAAAAAAAAAAGGTTCAAGTAATTGTAAGGCAGCTTTTTTTAAGCACTAAAAAAAATTTTCATGAAAAGAATTGTGTCTTGATTGTCCTGCTTGTGAGTGGAGACAGCCAACTCTCTGTAAATATCCATTTTTATTTTGGTGCAGTAATTATGGAACAATAAAGGGGACAGAATCTGAGTCTCAAGCAAACAAAATACAACACATTTCCATATTTCTATGCAATATTTCTTGAATATGAGGAGTCCAAAAGCATGTGAACTCTTATCTGAGCCCTTGATGATGGTGGAAATTTAGCCAATGAACATTCTTGAGAGAATGTTTCTTTCAACAAGATATGATAATACTAAGATGATAATACTCAGATGAAGAGCTGTAGTAGTTTTGAGGCTGTAGCTTGTGTTTCCAAAGGAAGAATTGCAAGTCCACTGAAATGGAAAGCTTAACTTCTGGAGCTGTAGAGAATATGCTCCAAAACAATGGCAACATCAACAAAGGTAGTATTTTTTTCTTTTTAAATCTTGGTTTGCTATGTATAAACCCCAAAATAATTACAAAATCTTTTACCACATTCTTCAGCTTAACCTATTCCCATGCTGTATCCTGCCACATTGCCCAGACAAGTTCATACACAAGACTGGAAGTGATCACCTTTTACTCTAACTAGAGAGTATCAAAATTTCTTTTTGGTGATTTCATTACATAAGAAAAAATAAAAAAAAATTAAAAAATCCTCAAGATTATTCAACCACGTTTCAATATTGTAATACAAAGTGATAGAAATAGGACCAGGATATTTTAGTTTTCTAACTTTAATCAGCATACAATAATGTGCACGAGTAATTAGTATGGAAACTAGAGTAAGAAGGATTGCCAGATTTGAAGGAAAATTACTGCCTTCTGGACAATGTTGCCAGTTTAAAATTATATGCAAATCTCAATTATTTAGTAATTTTCTGTTACAGTGGAGGATACACAATATATTAAGTCTAACAATAAAAAGATGAGGTGTATAACCCTTAAGATCAGAGACCGCTTGAAAATGTTCCCCATTATCACAAACATGCATTGCATGTATTGTTTCTATTATTTTAAATTTCTAAAGCTTTTTTTAAATGGAATTCATGACTTTTAAGCACTTTGGGGTTAACACTAACATTTGTTGAAATTCCTGAAATATTCTACTTTTTGGCATTCAGTGGATTATAGAGAATGTCTGTAACTTGAATACCCCATGGCATCTAGGATCCAAATTGCATGATATTCTCCCCTTCCTTCCATCTCAGAATCATCTGTAAATGACTCTTCCTTTCCATCAACAGTTTTCTTGTGATAAAGTCCTGCCTCTTACAACGCCCACCTCAGAGCTCCTGAGTTTATAATAAGCTTTCAAAGCCTCATGGGATTCTCTAACATTTACACAGCTGTGGCAAACACTTCAAAATTAACCACCTGACCTTCCCTAAAATGCTCAAAGAGCTCAAATTCCTTATTGCACACAAAAGAATCAAACACATTTGGAGGCCCTAGGGCCATGATGTTTTTTTAGCTATCAGGCATAAAAACTCCTCCATCCACTTTTTCAAAGGACTCTGTTTCACCAGAGTGCCTTTTTTATCTGCTCTCCACATTCTACCCTATCTTCTGTCTTCACAAAGAAGCCATCTCTACCATGGGGGCAATAAATTACCATTGAGGAAAGAATGGTCACTTTTATCCAGAAGCAAAAGAGGTGCTAAATCTATACAAAATTCACCACTGAGACCTATTTAGTCTTAGACTTTGCAGAGAGCAGACTACAGTCTTTACTGAGCTCCCATGAAGGTGCTCATACCTCTTGTGTCCTGCTAACTTCAGTCTGATTTCAAACTCACTGTTGGATAAGGCCTAAACTTTTACAATAACTTTTTCCTATTTTGATTTATAGTTAATTATAACTGTGAATATCTTCCTTTACTTTCTATCTCATCTCAGGGTTCATTTTGCATGAATGAAAGTCCCGAGAAAAAAGCAGTTTTACCACAGAAATATACTCCCAAGATGGTTGTTGAACTGAAGATCAGGACAAACACTCTTGGCACTCACTGAGGAGCAGCTCTAGGGCTGCTCTGGGTACACTCCTCTCCCAAGAAGAAGAGAAGCTGGTGGGCACTCAGGTTAGATCTTCGTCACCTTAGACATGTTCCATGTAGGTTAAAATACAGCAAATTGATACAGTGGGGCTTTGTCCCTTAGCAGGGATGCAGTCATTGTCCAGCTTGCATCATCTCAGTAAAACAGCATTGGTTTCTTTGCCAAATTGCCTGATAAGGCCACAGCAGGCTCTGGATTTACCCATTACTTCAGGGTTTAATGACCTTAAGCACAACACTGAATTACACCTCCAATTGCTATTTCCATCTGATTAACACTGAAAAATGCAGAAGGCTGGGTACGTACATACAACACTGGTAAATGGACTAATGCATTGAGCCAAAACATGCAGCATTTAATCCTCATTCAACACTTAATTCACTATTATTTACTGAGGCTTTCAGAAAAGCATGTGATGTTGCAAAATACAGAACTGAAAAGTTGGTCTGCTTAAAAAAAAATTAATAAATGTTTAAGCACTTGGCAATAAACTTTCAGGAAATCTGCCACTGGAAGGATTTCATGTAGCCACTGCTCCCACTACCCATACCAAAGTTCACCAAAGTCATAATTTTGCAAATAACTGCTTAGGAATAGGAGATACAAATTCAAAGCTTTGCTCTTGGCCGTAATCTAAAGCAAAATAAATGTAAAATTCACAGAGATAATTTTGTAAAAGAATTGTCAGTTTTACCTTGTGGCATAACTGCCAGCAGTTCATCCAAATGCTCATCAGCCAGTCTAGAAGTTTATCTAAAGTGGGCATCACAGTCATTAAGAAACTCGGTGAAAGGTAGGTTATGGATGTAGAACAATACTACCATTTTAAAATTACTAAAATAGAGCTTTGAGTTATAATAAGAAGCAGAGCTAAAAGTCGAATGCCAGCTTTTTTTTTTTTGTTTTGTTATAGGCTTTCATGTTGACCTCTGCTCTACACAAACTTAAATCTGTTTTACATCAGAAGCTGCAGGGACGGAAGAGTACATGGGAAAAGAACATGTCTGAGAGTTTAGAGAGGACCAGCTAAATTTTTTGAGCTCCAGTGGGATTGGTGACATAACTAAAAAGCAACAAACAGCAGGTGAGAGGGAGGATTTAAATATAAATAAGGACACTTTGAAGCCATAAGTTTTTATTGATCACATTCACATTTACAAATCAAAGTCTCAGCTCTTAGAAAAATATTTAACTAAGAAAGAATCCAAAAGTCATAAAATACAAAGCAGGGAAAGAAAAAATATTAGAGAGAAGTAAAGCATGGAATTATGTTGATAAATATTCCCCAGACTAAAAAAAATCAACTAAATACCCTATTTTCTTTAATTAAAAATCACTGAATTATTTAAGGATATCTGCCTGGATTAATTATTGAAGACACATCAAGATCTGCCTAGTGGTGTGATTACTGGTTTATATGGTTATTAAGATCTGCCCATTTGGACCTGAATTCAACCTCCAATTAAGAAAGTTATTAGAAATTCAATCCCACAAACAACTTAGCACATCCACACTCCATACTTTAAAATGGTTAAATACTTTAATTCACATAATTCATCCCTTAATAAAAAAAAACAGAGCTTATTTTTTTTTCCCCACTGATCAACATATACAAAGAAACAATGTCCATTTTATGGCCATGGTTTAGCAGACAGCATTTGCCATCCCACTAAAGGCGCTGCTCACACTCTATCTGTGGGATCAGAGTTCAAATAGCAGCACATTCAATCTGGAAAAAAGTGGTGGTTACAATAGCATAGTAATAACAGTTGCAGATAACAATCTGAAAAGCTGAGACCACTGAAACACGATGGTTTGCAGTTAGAAAGTATTTGTGTGTTTTACCAGAATGTAGCCCAGTACGCTGCCGACTGGGAGAAATAAAAAGCTGGTGGGAAGACACAAAATTAGATCAGAGCTCCCTCAAATGAAAAGAAATCCAGTCTTGCTGAACTGAAATGTGATCATCCGGATAGCATTTCTATCGGCTCATTCATTTCAAACTCCGTTTAATGCTGTATTAGAAATTTAATTTTAACAAATGCTCTTGCATAGGTGCAACTTGGCTGTCAGAGCAGGCCCATGGGTAGGTCTGAACAGCCCTTCCTCCACAGAGAACCCATAACCACACTTTGAGAACACAGACACAGATCCCCTCTACCAGGTGAAGGCAGCCAGCTGAGTCACTGAATATCATAAAATATGATATTAATATTCTTCTTGCTTCTGCAAGATGTGCTCAGCCCTGTTGGCCTTAACTGTGACCACGGGAATGCCTGGGAAGTAATACAAGCAAGGAACAAATATTTAGCAATACTTAGCCAGAAAAATTTGCCAGCCTCCAAAAATTTGCAGCTTAGAGGCTTCCCTCTAGCAGACCTTGCTGGACTTCTCTTTAACAAACTTCTCCAGTTGCCTCCTGACCTGCCCCATAAAGGATCAATAATCACAGCATGCAGACTTGCTCTGTGCAGAACCATTGTGGTTCCTTTCGAGGCTGTGTCTTATTTAATCCCCACTCTTCTGGTATCAGAAAAAATAATGGGCACTTGCTCATCTCCATGGCAGTCATGATCAGTCCCCTTTTTCTTATCTTCTCTGCATTACCTTTTTGGCAGGCTGAAGAATATGACACATGTGGATGTTCCTCCTGCAAAGGATGTGAAGTCAGGAATCCAGAGGTCTGCTCCATGGAGAATGTACACATACCTTCACCTTGTATTTAATGATTTGCCTCGTATGAGCTGAATTATTTTCCAAATATTTCTGGTTTTCCCTAGAGGAAAGAGTCTTGATGGCAGTTCTAATCTAAGACCTAATTTAGATACCAGGCTGGTGTTTTGAAGGAGGCAGAGTTAGATCAAATTGCACTAAATTTATCAGGTGAAGATCTAAGTGTTTCTGTTTAGTGAGATGAAGAAATTTGTGGCATTAATGTTTGCTATTTGACAGTGGTTTCTTTTCATTACATGAAATGAGAAAACGGAGCCAGTTCATTATGAAGATAGTGAAAGTTTTAATAAGCCCAATACAGGCTGAATCCTACAAGTGCATGTGGGGAAAGTAATGTATAAAAATGCAACATCAAAGAAAGATGAGCAGGGAATGGAGAGCAGAGAAACATGTAATGAGCCAAGTCAGACTGAAGTCTAAGATAATTGCTTAAAGATTGCAGCACTTGAGAAATGCTATCCTACAGCAGGAGTAGAAAATGGGTTGAAATGAATGGGACCCAGTCAATCTGTAACCACATCATAAGGCCCAATATAATTTCCCCCATTTTTTCTACACCCCCAGGTGTAGAAGCTGAGGCTCTGAATAGAGCTAGCAGTCAGGGTCTCACCTCCTCGATCTGGGACCAGACCTGACCCAACATTTTCTTTGCCCAAAAACCTCTTCTAAATATTTCTTGTATTAACTCTGTGGCTAGAGAGAACTTAAAAATGTGTCAGTGTGAAATAATTAACTATCCTAATTGCAAAGATTGGGGCTTGTGGCCCAGTGTAAATTCTTGCTGTTTGTACAGTGTTAAATAAGCCAGTCGATCAATGGGGCTCTGATGATTTATTAACATCATACTGCCAATGAGAACACATGCTGGAACTTAGGATGGCTCAACCTTAATTATAAAATACTGAAGGCAATCTCAAATCTTTCAAGGACTTATAAAACTGGTTGCATATTTGTCATATATTAACACAGAAAGCAAAATATAGCTGAATAATAAGGAATGCATCTTTCACCTGTTCAAAGTACTGCCAAAAACAGTAATAGCAAATTGTATTTTATCATGTTTTCTTGCAATTCCACAAAAATGGCTTGATATCCCAGTGTATTAAGCAATTCCTATGTTGTGTACTAAGTACCTCTGTCTTTTCAAAAAGAGGAAAAAAACAAACTAAATTGATTTTAATTTGGATAATAATATTTTATTTTTTAATTTCAATGAAAACAATCCATCTGGCCTGAAATTCTCACTGAAAAAATTTGAGCATTATTAAAACAGCTGAAACAAAACACTGCATGTTTTTGTTTTCATGTTTTTGCTTTCTCACTAAACATTCACAACACCAAACTGACCTAGCTAAGATCATTATTTCTAAAATTTTATTCTTTATTTATGCCTCATTTAGGGTGACAGTGCACCTACCTAGGAGAGATTTATTTAGCAACTGTCTGCTATCCCAAGAGAAGATGCTGTTCTTCACCTTTCTAAGTACACACATCAGCAGCATTTCAGTGGAAACTGATCCATAAACAATTACCAGGCACTAAAAATCATATGGGAAACCAAGCAGAGCTTATATTAAGAAGACTTGATTATGTGCACTGCCATAAGTTTTTTGGATTTTTTTACGGTTCAGATTAGCATTTTTAAAATATATGTATATAGTACAGAGAATTGTAGGAGGATCCTGGAGATGCAGTAACAATTAAAATATTATTACACTTTGGACTTGCTTGAGCTTTCATCGAGGTGAATGCTGTTTGATAAAGATGGTTAAGTGTTATCTTCCCCATTTCACTTTAAGACCATGAGCCACAGATAGACTGAACAATTTCTGAAACCATCAGAAAGATCTTTCTACACTGAAAATAAAGCTCAGCTGAGCCTTAAGGCCACATCCACACTGACAAACAGTGAAGACCAGAGGAAAATTTTTAGAACAAAACAGTTGACAGTAAGGACCATAAAGGTACATTGCAAGAAATTTTAATTAATTAATTTCTTTTTACTTTGGACTATCTTTTGTTTGACCCCACAGACCAAGTACCTATTTCTCTCTGGAGTGCATCAGATGTAGTTGGTTCACTTTGATTCGAAACAAATTCCAGTTCATGCACTTGAGACAGTTCCTCAACACGAGCAAAACCATAAATGATGGAAATGATCGCAAGACCTACTTTAGAAGTTCCTATCTGATCCAAGCTAAAATTGAAAGGTAGACTCAGCCTTTTCAACGCCAGCTGGATAGAACCTGACTCAAAGCAGTGTGAAGCCAGCAGTGAGGTGAGGATAAGGAGCATTTGCAGAAGCTCCAGTGGAAACACATTTTGGGGCACCAGGAGGCAATGTTTTGTTACCCCTTGGCTATTTCTGCACAGATATGTTCTGCAGCTCTTGGGTTTGCATTCTTGCTGAAAACACACAGAACTTGCTTCATACCACGCGTCACATTGTGCGTGAAAGCTACCCACATGACAGGCAGTCTTCCAGAGATAACAGTAATCTTCAGGTGATGCCAACAATTTTTACTGACTGACTGTGTGCAATGCTCTGCTGAGCCCAGCCACTCAACACAGTCTGCTGAGCAACAAGAAAAAGTCTCCAGCTTTGCTATGCTCTGTCAGCTTTCCTTACTGCTTCCAGAAATTAGTTCTGGGGACTTTGCTGATACATTTACTTGAAAAGACAATGAACTCTCCAGCTCCCTGATACACATATTAGATTATAATCACATATCATGTTCCATGAGAGTCCACACACATCTCAAGCATCAGGGAGTTTTCCATGCTTCCAGAATACAGAATTCTATGAAGGCAGCAATGTGTAGACTTCCCAAGTCAGCTTCAGTGGATTTTCATGCCTGTGTAATGAAAATGAGCAGTGAGATGTTGCTTGTCATCAGAGACCTGCTGTATCTGTGATGCAAATAATAATAATTGTTGGATAATTGCTCCTTTGTTAGTTTTGTTTTGAATAGATAGGCAAGGAGAAAAGAAATTTAAAGGCAGAGAAAGAAGGGTCGAAACATACCAGAAAAATTCAAGAAAAAATCCTGGAAGAATATAGCTTTTATATAGAAGATTTGAGGGAGTAGCTTAATTTGTTTACACTCATTTAGCTTGAGGGTTTGTCCATAATGTGAACACAGCATGATCCTGCTGAGGATTTTGGACCCAGCTCATTTTCAAGTGTAATGTAGACCATGAGATCTCTGGCCCTGAGCACTGTCCCAGTATCCTAGAATTCCTGGAAAAATTCTGAGTGGTCTGCAGAGATTTTCATGTGGACACAAGGTTTTTTATATGGAGATCCATTCCAAAGCAGATTAAAGTACGTACTTATTATATAGACATAGCTTTTAAAGCTTTTTTTAAAAAATCAAATACAGAAGTATCATTTAAAAGTTGAAGAGGATTTAGTACCAAATCTTTAGTCCCTTATGCAACCAATTGCTACCTTGTACTTCATAAAATATAGTAGAGCCGTTGAACTGCAGGCACTATAACTTGTACTTTGAATCTACCTAAATGTAAAAAGTAATAAATTACAGTGAGTGATCCTAGCTTTTTAACTGGCACTCCAAGTCCATTTGCCTTTCTAATGCATTTAGAAAGAGATAAATGCCAAACACTTAAGCTGCACATAAGCTTCTTGCTCCTTTATATTATTTCCTATAAATAAAAATATAAATGCTTGCGGTCGTGCAATTTGGTCTTCGAGCACATGGTACTATAAATCTGGTCATGATACATTTCCCCTGAAAATAAATATGATCATTTCTTCTGAGATGCAGGACAAAAAGGTTCTTTCTTAAGGAAATAAACACCTAATAATTCAAATGGCCACTTAGCCCAGAAAGTAGTGACATTGCTCCTGGGCATGGGTACTCACTGGATACATGGTCCCCATGCCAGGCAAAAAGCAACCTCTCCTCAAAAGGAATTTTCTGGGACAGAACTGTGCTATTGTCAGCCCTTTTCTCTCATACGAGAAAGATTTTTTTACAAACAGGATTAAATAGATGTTATATAAAGGAATGTCTGTATTCAGTGTCAGGTACTTACTCTACTTTGAACTCATGTTCTCTGCTTCACAATTGAAACTATTCTTTCCCTTTAACTGAAGTTGCCAAAATACAGTCTTCATCAACATTGATTCAACACATCATCATCTAAAACAAGGTGATAAAGCTGGTATTTATATCTGTCAGGGGACTGATTACAGATGATGGCAACAACTATCTCAAAAGGTATAATTCTCTGCCACAGTGTACATCAGTATTTTTCTTAATTATTTTTGACATTTTACCTATTACTCCAAGGACTTTCTCAGAGGGCGGAAATAAAGGGGAAAAATGGGTTTTGTGCCACAGATGAAGAAATACATCTTCTGTAAGTAATTCCCAGAAGAAATCTTGGAAATCTTATGGGGTCAGGAAAGAGGCAAGAAAGTAGCATTTGTTACCCTTGCTGAATTGGTCGTCTAAACTTACAGTAACACTAAAGCTGAGTGAGTGACTTATCTGCCACCCCTTAGGGAGGGAGAAAAGTGAGGCTAAAGAAGTATGGGGGGGAAGCACACTGTGAAAATATCATCTAAAATACTGCCTAAAAATCCTGATCTTTCTGACACTTAACTTCTATTTCCCTTATAGCAGATGTGGATATAACTTCTGTTTTTAGTGATCACACATAGCAAAAATGAAGAGCTGTACAGCTGAGGTTATTGCAAGAATAAAAGTTCACCAAGTTTAGGACAAGCAAATTTTGTCTGAGTGTCTCAGAGAAAAACATCCAGCTGAAGAGCGGTACAGATGCAAGAGAAATAGACAATGATCACCATCTACAGGGAATATTAAGGTAGAATGACTGACAGGAAACACACAAAACCAAAAGAAATCTTGAGAAAAGCACGTGAAAAAGCTTGTTACAAGTCACTGCTTTTGACGTGAGTTTGATGCAGGATGGACAACAGTGCTACAAAAAGCAACTTGTCATTTATCTCTAGAAAAATTTCAAGCACCGTTGGCTGCTCAGTTTAATGACACCATTATTAAACTCAAGATAGATAAAACAGGCTTTAATAGACATGAACTTTCTGGTTATATCTAAAAAGCCTATGAACACTGCAGCCATTCCAGAGTAATACACAACTCAACACTTGGTTTCCAGCCTTGGAGCTAGTTTCTGTACAGAGTCTTCTCTCATCCTCTGAATCTCTCAGTATCCCATGCTGATGACCCACCAGCGTGAGCATGGTTAGCAAAACATGAGTTTTACATAGCTATTTAGCCTATTTTGTCTTGTATTACACAAATACAAATAAAACTAACAGAATGCCATGGAAGCTCCTACGTGTGGAAATGAATTTTTAGGTATGATAGGGTTTGTAACATTAAAGGGCCACTTAAGACATGCCAGAACTATGTGAATTATTCTGTATTTAACAGAAGGAAACATCTGTCTTTCAGACATTTGCTAGTTGTGTTAAGGTGGTTTGTCCTTAATTTACGCTCCATCAGAAATGAAAACGCCTTTTTTCCTCTACATCTAGTGTTGGCTGCATGGTGGCCTGCCTGTAAGAAGGCATTTACTGCCTACCTCTCAGAGATAGTAGAGGAAGGGTGAGTGATTTTCATGCTCTGGCACTCATTGTAGGCTGTTTAATTTGTCAGGACTACTAGGCCATGGTTTTGTGCTTTGACAGGTTTTTGTTATTCCTGCTAATCCCATTTCTGTTGTGTAATGTGCGTGGCAGCATCTGGTGACAACAGAATAGAACACCTAATTGTGAATGAATACAGAGAGCCCTGTTCTGCCACATTGCCTGTTGCACTATTTTTGCATTTTTATGGCTGAGGGTGGGCTTCCAGGAGCTGCAAAACAGACAGCCCATCGTTGTAATCAAATTTGCCATTTGCATGTGTGTGTTCTTAGCAGCCTTCCTGTTTCTACAGCCCCCAGGATTCCCTGAGTTTGGTTTTCTGGCTCCCTCTTCTGAATGGAGAGGATGATCTTAAGTATTTATTAAACAAATTCTCTTTGACTATTAAGTCAGAATGTGAAACTGATTTGGGTGCCACTAAAAGGGCAGCATGGGAGGAGAGCCAATGCAGAACCTGCACAGCTGTCACTGCCTTCACCCCTTGTATGGCTTAATTCACACGCTGGACACAAGGACCCAGTCTGTCCTGGTGCCTGGGGTTAATATTCTCCAGCTGCAGGACCCAGCATTTGCTTTTGTTGTGTTTCAGATGTTTCCTCTCTGCCCATCTCTCCAGCCTCTCAAGCCCCCTCTGAAGGGCTGCACAGCCCTCTGGGGTAGTAGCCACTCCTCCAAGCTTTGCGTCATCAGCAAACTTGCTGAGGTGGCATCTGGCCCTTCATCCAAGCCTTTGATGGATAAGTTAAACAGTTGTGGGGCCAGTATTGAACCTTGGGGGACACCACTATTGAAGGTATCCAACCAGACCCTGTGGCAGTGATTAAAATCCTCTGGGATCTGCCAGTCAGCCAGGCCTCAATCCACCTCAGTGTCCACTCATCCAGTCCACACTTCCACTGAGTTTGCCTACAATGGCATTGTCAGAGACAGCATCTAAAGCCCTGCTGAATTCAAGGTAGACAACATTCTCTACTCTCCCCTTATTCACCCCAGAAATTGTTCCAACATAGAAAGCAGTCAGGTTGGAGGAGCAGCATTTACCTTCAGAGAATCTATGCTGACTATTCCTGATCATCTTCTTGTCATCCATGTGGATAGAGATGGCCTCCAGAATGAGACACCCCAGAAACTTTACAGGGATTAATGTGAAGGTGACTGGCCAGTGATTCCCTGTGTCACCCTACCCTTGCCTCTTCTTCCCCCCTTTTTGAGATCCAAGGTGACATTTGTTTTCTTCCAGCCCTCAGGCACCTCTCCTGACTGCCATGACCTTTCAGAGATGCTCGTGGGTGGCCTCACTATGCATGGGTACAGCCTGTCAAGGCCCTTGGGCTTTTGGATCTCAAGTCTGCCTAGATGTTCTCTAACCCAATCCTTCTAGACCAAATAACTCACATATTTTCATCTTAGATTCTTCTCAACCACAAGCATTAGTATTGCAAAACAAGACTGACAAAATTCACTTCCCACATCAATCTTGCAGGAACTTTCAAAAGATTAATTAAAACAAAGCTCTAAAAACCAAGAGATCTGAAGTATATGAATCACAACATCAAAAAGAAAAACTTTAAGGAGAGTGTTCAGAATTTTAAATTAAAGTGCAAGCTTCAATTTTCTCCTGGTACCACTTGGTACAATTTTCCTCACAGTAAACAACACAGTTCTGTATTTACCACAACAATATGGAATCAAAACACAAAATCTGTTGGATGCAGAAACCAAGATCTAAACCAAGATCTAAAGCTGGTATAAAATGTAACATGTTACTAATAAATTTTTCTAACTCCTCTGTACTCTAGGATTTTGAATTTACTAAGTTTTAAAAAGGTGGTCAAGCAATAAATTAAATATGAAAGCATGAGGCAGCATAAAACCCACACATGAAAATAAGACCATGTCTTATGCTTCTTCTTATCAGCTACTGTTCAATTCTAAACTGAGTTCTAAGAAGCATAAGATAGTGTGAAAGCAAAAAATATTTATGTATGCTATGCATACAGAATAGACAACCAAGGGAGAAATGTTCCTCCTTATCAAAGACTTGTATTAGATGTATCCTTCTTCTAAGCATCTGTGGACAAGTTCCCCAGAAAAGATGCCTTTCATCAACTATGGGAGCTGTTATTCGTTATCATCATCTGTTTATAATCAATGAGAACAGTTGGATGCTCAGCAGTCTTGAAAATTGAACCAATT